CCAAAGCTCTCCATCAGTTCACTGATTCATTCAGGCATTCCATGTTCACTGACGGTCCTGCTACTCCAGCCCGTGCTAGGCACGCGGGGTGGGAGGGTGCCCGAGGGAGCGTGTCAGGTCCCTCATCCCTGATGCCCCCAGTTCAGATCCTCCCCAGCTCTGCCCTCAGGGACCTTGGTAAAAAAGCCTTCCCCCAGCCTTTTGCCTTGCAGCCCACAACCCTCCCCAGCGTGAACAAAAATACTCCACGTGGTCCACGCCCAGTGCTGTGAGCTGGGGACGAGGCAGAAAAGAAGGTGAGATGCGGGCTATGCCTCCACAGAGCTTAGACTGGGGGCCTGGAAAGAGTCACCCAGTTAGTAGTGACCAGCAGGGCTGAGTGACAAAGGAGAAAGATGGGGGCTGGGGACCCAGGCTGGGTGTCGGGGAAGATTTGCCTGAGGAGCTGACTCAAAGGCTTCTGCGGGAGGGGGCTGGCCCCTTCCAAGAGCTGGAGGCTGGCCTTCCTGACTCCCTGGCCCCAGCCTTCTCCATCAGCCCCCTACCTGCTCCCTCTGCCCCAAGCCCCCCCAGGGCCCCCACCAACACTGTCCTCCCACCCCCTTCCCCGCTGCCCCAGAGGAAGCATCTACAAGCACTTTTTGGCTTCTAAGCCTTCCAGTCTCAGGCTGCTGGGTGGTTGGTAAACAGCTTATTAAGGTGATTAACGCTGCAATTAAAGCTGGAAAAACAGAGGCCCGGGTGCTGGCTGAAAGCTCCCCCTTCTCCTCCCCCCTCCCTTTTCCCCTCCCCCTCCCCTCCTCTTCCATCCCCTCTGGGCTTGGTTGATGCAACTCAGCCTGACCTAGCCTCCCAGAGCCCTCACCTAGGAGCTGGGAGGCTACGCATCTGGGGTCCTGCCTCAGCTGCCCAGCACCCCCTTCCCCACGAGGTAGGGGGCTCTTCTGACTGGGGAATAAGTGATAGCGATGGTGTGCTGCTGAGGCGGATGGTATATGGAGGCTAATCCGGGTGAGGTCTCTAGGAACCCCTGGTGCCTGGGACTCCTTAAAGAGAGGGGCCTCGGGGACATGGGTAGAGACTGTCCTTCTCATCCACTTCCCCAGGTGAGAAGGGCAAGGGCTGTCTCCTCCCAGAAGTGGGGCAAGGAGCTTCCTTTTCCCAAGCTCACCGTTTCAGGGCAGCTGCCGGCACATCTGAGGGGCTGGGAACTGCCAGACCCTGGCCCTTCTCTGAGCCCAGCATCCACGGAAGGATTCAGGAGCCTTCTGGATCCACGCCTCCCCTGCCTTCAGCATCAGCTCTAGCCAACCCACAAAGATCCACGAGGCTGCTGCTCTCAGGCTCTCCCACAGCCTCCTTTCTCTCCACCCCATGAGTACTGGAAGGGGAGTTATTCCAGAGGTGGGATCTCCGGGGAGTATGTTCTCAGACCCCCAGCTCTGCCTGTCATGCTGCCATCCTTCTTTCAAGGCACAATTCAAATGCCACCTCTTCCACGAAGCCTTTCCAGATTTCCTTCCCACCCGCCACCAGCTGCCTGTGCCCTTTCCTCTGACAGCCTGTCCAGTCTTCCCTGACTGTGTCAGGTTTGCCCAGCTGGGGGCCTCTTCAAGATGGGCCCTGCTTCTGGCCTTGGAGCTCCTAGCACAGACAGGTCTGTGCCTCCCTTCCCCAGGCTTCCATCATCTCTTGTACTAGCTCCTAGAACTGCCTGGCATATGGCAGGCGCTCCATAAATATTGGTTGACTTATTCCTTTTTGGAGTGCACCTAGAGATGGGTGGATCAACCAACGTGGCAAGTACAGCCAGGAGCCTGACTTTGAATGGAAGTATGGGAGGGTGAGATGGGGCAGGAGGCGAGTTGGGGAATAAGCCCCATCTCCCCCGTCACCATCATCGACAGCGACTTTCATTAACCGAGCAGTACTCACCTTGTGCCGGGTACCTTGTTAAGCATTTTACTCCCATTATCCCATTTAATCCTCTCAACAACCCTGCTGAGTAGGTGGCATTATCCCTACGTTACAGACGAGGAAACTGAGGCTTAGAAAGGTTAAGTGACTTGCCCAAGATCACACAGTCAGTGAAGTGGTGGAGGCAAGATTCAGTCCAGGTCAGCTGACTCCAGCGTGCATTCCTGAGCGCAGCACTAAGCTTTTCCTAGGACTGGCCCTGGGGGGAAGAAGCCCAGCCCCTTCGCCCTCCACTTCCCCTCCCAGGGAAGAACCCAGGGAGGAGGGCTGGTGGCTGGGTGGGCGGAGCCGCGGTGGTTCCAGCTCTCTGACACTCTGCCCTGGGGCGTTTTAGTAAACTGAGCTACAGAAAACCCCATTAAGACCACTCATTCCCCAAACAGACCTGGGTTCAAATCCCAGCATTGCCACCTATTAGTTATGTGACCTCGAGGGAGACCAGACCTCTCTGAGCCTCAGTTTCCCCATCTGAAAAATGGTTACTATACCACCCACCTCACAGGCCGCTGTGAGGATTACATACAAAGTGCCAGGCACAGAGGAGGAGTTTAGCAAATGCCAGCTGTTACTAAGGTTTGGAGAACAGTGACCCTCAGGGCACACTGGGGTCCCCTAGCCCCCTCCTTCTTCCCTGGAGGTTGTCACAAGGCAACGGGTGTTATCAAGAAGCACCTGGCAAAGGATGGGCTCAGCAGCCCCACCCTGGCACTCTGCCAGGTCCCCCACCCAAGCTCCTGTTCTTGTGCCTGCCCCCCCCCCCCCGCTCCACCAACCAAGGCTGGTAAAGAGGATGACCTGACTGGCCTGGAGGTGAGGAGAGGAGGAAGGGGAGGTCAGGAGTGGGGCTGACCCTCACAGGAGGTCACCCGGGCAGTTAGTCCAGCCCGACAGAGCAGAGATGAGCAGGGAGGAATTAGGGAGCTTACAACATCCTTTCATCCCGCAGCAGCCCGTCCGCCAGCCTGCCCGCCCAGCCTCCCTCCTTCCTTCCTCTCTCTTTCTGCCCTTTTTTTCCCTCTCCCTCCCTTTGCTGGCAGCCCAGCCCTAATAAAATGCAGTGTCTCCAGCAAGTCTGCCCGGCTGCCGCCTCGCTGCTCCTGCCTGCACGCAGCCCTCAAACCAAACTGCTCAGCTCAGCCCCGCCTGGCAGCTGCCACTTAACCCTTGCCAGCCCGGCTGGCTGGCGTCTGTGGGCTGAAGGCCCTCCTCCCTTCCGCCTCCCTTGGGCGCGGGAGGAGGGGAAGGCCTGCCTTCTGAGAGGGAGAGGGGTGAAGTGGGGGCTGGGGGTCCCCACCGTTCTGGAGCCCTGCCCAGAGAACCCCTTGTCCGTGTGCCTGTGACTGCTGTGTAACCAGGTCCTTCTGGGAGTGTGAGACCCGCTCCTCCTGCCTTCTCATCCTTCTGCTTTGTGCCTCATCACTGGGTGAGAGGCCGACAGGGTGGGGATTATTGTCCCCATTGACAGATGAGGCAACTGAGGGCCTGACAAGGAGGCTTCAGGCCGAGCTGGGTCACCTCAGCTGCTGAATGGTGTTGCTGATTCTTAATCTAAGACTTTTTCCAGTACAGGAAGCTGCCTCTACCCCCGTGTTTGTGCGCCTGTGTGTGACGCTGGGGTGACCTTTGCAATGCGTGTTCGCGCACCTGTGTACTGGGGGCCTCTATCTCTTGGAGTGTTGTGGCCTTGGCTTTATACATTTGTGTGATGCTAAGGTGTCTCGGGTGTGTGTTAGTGTCTATGCATGTGCCTGCAGACGACGATACGCTTGCTTCAAGTGGGAGTGCACGTACGTGTGATGATGGAGAGGTGTCACCGTGTGTCTCTGCACCTGTGTGTATGAGAGAGAGGTGGCTTCACAAGCGTGTGCATGCGTTCGTGCTGTCTCCCGTCTGCACCAAGATGTGCTGCTCACACCCACCTCCATTCATTCTACCACCCCCAGCTCTCCATCTCCAAGGTCTTGGAGCTGGGCAGCTAGAAGAGGAGGATGGCTGCAATGCCGGTCCAGGCAGTCGGTGGTAGCAGCAAGGCTCTGAGTCAGGGCCCGAACCCCCTGAGAAGGTAAACGCAGCACCCCCTCATCTGTTTGCGTCCATCATCCAGCCTGGATCCCAATGGCCTGGGGTCCCTGCCAGCTGTGGGAGCAGTGGTGTTCCCCCTGCCTGAGGCTCCACCCACACCCCACGCTGGAAAGGACAGACAGCAGGGTGAGGGGCCAGGGAGTGTCTGGGCGTGGAGGCAGGGGGTTTACACTCATGTGCAAGCATGTCTGCGTGTCAGCCCAAGATCAAAGAGCAGCTCTGAGGTGACCCGGCAGCCGCGGCAGTGGCGGAGGGCAGCTGGCTGGCAGGGAACGCCAAGCCGCCAAGCAGAGTGGAGTCAGGGAGGCCACGGCTGGGAGCCTCCCACTCACCCAGACCTGCCCAGGTTGGGGGCAGCCATGGGGTCAGGAGGTCCCTCCTCACCAAACACCTTCCCCAACTCCCAGGCCCTCCCCCGAGACCTGTCTGTCTCCAGCCTCCAGTTCAAAGAGCTCAGTGGTTATTTTCGTCTTTTTTATTAACTTTATATATAAAGATGGGTCCAGTAAGAAAGGAGAAATGAGAAGGCTGGGAGGGAGTGGGAGCTGGCTTCATTCCTGTCCCTTGGGGTGGGACTCTTCGAGACCTACCGTGTCTCTCCTCTCTCCTGCGCCTCCCACCAAACCCGAACCCAGCCAGAGCCCACATCCCTGTTTCTCTGAGCTTGCGACGCACAGGCAGGTACATCCAAGAGGAAAGGGCCACATAAATAGGAAACCACAGCAGGGAGGAGGCTGCTTCTCTGTTGCTCTTAAAAAAAAATACATACTATATATATAGCTACAGTCTTCTACCTCTCCTTCTCTTCGATGTTTGACCACATCAGGGGTGGAGGAAAGTTAGCTCTGGGGGGACATCTGGGCCAAGGAGGGGCAGCGCCGCCAGCCCTCCAGATAGCCACCCCCTCACCCCTGAAGGAAGCGAGTTATAACCCTCCCCTTTCTCCCCGTGCACCTCACCCGACATTCTCCATCTCGGCAGGAGCCATCTGTTTCCAAGGCCACCAGAAAGGGGATGTTTTGGGGTTTGTCTTGCCTGGTATGTCTCCTTGGAGATTTGGGAGTTGGCGCCAAAACTATCAACTTACTGGAGGAGAGGAAGAGGTGGGGGGCGCAGAGCAGAGATGCCCGCGCAGGGGAGATGGTCCTATCTGTTAACAATGCCCTTTGTTTTCCTATATTTCAACAGCTTTTAAAACAAAAGTTGTGCAAAGTCCTGTACATGGAAGAAGAAATGGGTCCTTAGGAAACTTCAGAGACCCACTCCTCCTCTCTGACCAGAGAGGGAGAGAAGAGATGGCTCCTTGAGTTCTTCCCTCTAAAGCCACAAATATGAAAAGATTCCCTCACTTGGGGGGTTTTCTTTGGTTTAACCCTCAAATCTTAAATGAGGGCTAGAAGTGCTGGGCCGGGGCTGGCTGAGGTCCCCACCCTGAGTCCCAGTCATGATGTCCAATGTCTTTTTGGCAGAGGGGATGCTCAGGAAGTGGGGAGCCACAGGTGGTTTAGGAGGAACCAGGCCTGGCAGGTCCTGGAATCCACAGCGCCTGGTGCCCCAGCCCAGGCCTGACCCGCAAACACTCCACAGTCTCCCCAATCCCCAAGTCTGGGGAACGAGGACTAAGTTTTAGAAGCTGGAAGATGATGGGCCATTTAAAGCCAATCCAGTCTTCTGGAGCAGAAAGGGAACAGCTGTCCCAGCTGGAGTGGAGTGCCCCAACATCTGGAGGGGTACCCCAGTGTCTAGGCGGGGGGAAGGAGATTCAGGGGACATCCTTGGTCCATGCAAATTTCATCTGGAAGCTCTTAGGTCCTTGGAGGAAGGGGCAAGGGAAGGGGGAATGGGGGTGCTCTTTCTCCTGTGCTCCTCGATGATTCCTGAGTGTTGGCTAGGACGGAGGCGCCTTCTGCCTGGTCCCAGGGGTCCTTCGTGGGAGGTTCAGGCCAGGTGGGTGCTCAGTACACAGCCCCAGGGTTGGGCGGGGGCCCCGGGGAGGCGTGGTGCAGGGTGGCCGGCTGAGGCGGCTGCTGCTGTAAGTGCGGTCCACTCAGGTTCTGTGTGTGGTACCAGGAGTTGGTGGGGTCATCCAGGTAGCTGGGGGAGGCACTGTACGGGATTGGCGGGGGCAGCTGACTGCGCGCGGGGGCCGGAGTGGAGTGGGAGGAGGTGTCCCAGAGGGCAGGCGATGGCGGTGAGTTGCAGGCCATGGAGTCGCTGTTGTTGGGGCTGTGCTCCAGGGGCACCTCCCCATTCTTGTAGAGCTTCTTGAATTTGGAGCGGCGGTTCTGGAACCAGATTTTCACCTGCGCCGGAGAAGAAGCGGGGAGCCAGTTAGCCTCTCAGCGTGCTGAGTGAAAACCCTGCAGGGACCCCAGCCTAGAGAGGGCAAGGCCGGCACCCAATGTCACGCAACAAGACCCAGGCAAATCCCAGGAGTCCTGACTCCCAGGCCAGCATCTTTTTTCTATCTGGGATAGAACTGTGGCTAGGAACTTTCAACCCCCTGGGTCCAAATTCCGCTCTGCTGCTTTGGGCAAGTTACTTAACCTCTCTGTTCTTGCCTGCCTCATCTGCAAAACGGGGATGATGGTAGCACTATTACCTACCTCACAGGCTCATTAGGACACTCAAATATGTTAAGACAAAGAACTTAGAACAGCCTGGTATGCAGTAAGCACTCAATAAAAGGCAGCCCGGTGGGGGCTGGGCGGTTTATGGCATTTTGTTCACACTAGAAACCCGTAAGCAGAGGCGCCCAGATACACAGAGACAAACACACACCCACATAAGCATCTCCATGTGCAAGAACGTACCCACTCATAGCCTCACACACAGACACCGGACTATAAAGATAAACACATGCACAGATACACCCAGATAAACACCCCACAAACATGAGCACCAGTGTTCACACACTCAGGCATGGAGGAGCCCTCCGGGGCTGGCTAATGGGGGTGACCTGGGGACTCAAGAGTAGATGAGCCATGATCCCCATATTTCCCTTGGGGTATCTCCCCCTCCCCCTGCTGCTCCCCACCCCATGACTGGTACAAACAATGAATCAGCTCCTCACCAGGTGACCCAGATTCCCGGCGGACCGGGCTCCACGCAGCCGCAACCCAGGCTCGCCTGTCCACACCTGTAGGGAGCCAGGCGTCCACACTCCTCCCCTGAGAAGTGACAGGCTGCTGGGGGCTTTAGGGACAGGCTGAGGGTGGGAGTGGGGCTCCCACCTCTGAGTCCCCATCCCCCTTTGGTGGGGACTCTCTCCTCTTGGCTGGGGGCAGAGGAAGGGGTGAGCATTCGGGTGCTGAGCAGGAATGCGGTGTTTTGGTACAAACACATTTTTGTACATGCATTCACCGGTCTGCACAGTCACATACACGTGCCCTCCATCTATAAACACAATGACCCTTGAAAGGTCGCACTCCTTATGTGAGCATTCCCACACGTACACCGACCCATTAGCATGTGTGCAAACACACACGTGTATGTACACCTCTGCACACACATGCCTAGCCTCGGGGGATGACACGATGTGGACTCCTGTTAAGTGAGCGACCAGCACTGTTGGGGGTCTGTGGGAGCTGGGGATCCTGGGGCAGAGGGGAGGAGGACATCTCTCCTTGTGACAGACACCCACAGCTGCACAGGTTCACAAATATGCACGCCTGTGCACGTGCTAATGTAGAGACTTCCAACAGAAGTTGAGACGTGGGGGGCTCCCCACCCACAGGCAAGAGTTTCAAGGGCTTGCAGGAACTTCAAAAGGCCAGCCAGGCTCGGCTCAGCGGCGCCTGGAGAGCCCCCACCGAAGCCTGGTGGCCCTCGCCCGCCCAGCACTGACCTGTGTCTGCGTGAGGCCCAGCTGCGCGGCGAGCTCGGCGCGCTCGGGCAGCGCCAGGTACTGGGCCTTCTGGAAGCGGCGCTGCAGGGCGGCCAGCTGGTAGCTGGAGTAGATCGTGCGCGGCTTTCGGACTTTCTTGGGCTTCCCGTTCACCATGCGCACCTCGGCTTCCGGCTCCTCCTTCACGGAAACTGCGGGCAACGCACCGGGCGGGGGGCGGCTCAACCTCGGCCTGCGACCCCGCGCACCCCAGGCCCGGCGGGACGCCCCACCCTCCAGCCCACCGACTCGCCCCGGGATTTCCCGGCTGCGCGCCCCGCCGCCGGCGCCCCGGGAGGGAGCCACGGCGACAGAGCCGACAGAGCCGGACCGGCGGCCGCCCACGACGCGGCGCTCCCAGCTCCCAGCGCCCTGCGCCCGAAGCCCGGAGCGCGGGCCCCGGCGCCAGCAACCGCCCGGCGAGGACGGCCACGGCGCGGCTCACGACGCCTTCCCGGTCCCTCCCAGCCTCGCCACCCGTCTGCTGGCCGCCGCCTTCTCACCCCCACCTTGCCGGCGGTCTCTTTTCTGGCTCTTTCCCGCCCGTTCTTCCTTCCTTCCTTGTTTTTTTTTTTTTTTTTAAACTTTTTATTTTAGAATAGTTTTAGATTTTCAGAAAAGTTGCAAGCATAGTAGAGACTCTTTCCGTCCTTCTTTCCGTCCGATCCTCTGTTCCTTTCTTCTCTCTCTCACTTTGTCTCTCCACATTTCTCTTTCGCTGCGCCTCCACTTTTCTCTTTCAGCTTCTCTACTTCTCAGTCGCTGCTTCCCTCCGTTTTCCCGTAATTCTGGGGGTCTCTCTCCATGTCCCCCTCACCATTTCCCCCCTCCCCAGCCCAGATCCAGAGGGTCCCTGGAGCCTCCAGTCCCCGCTGCCTACCCGCGAGCCCTCTGCAACCCGATGGAGGACCCCCCGCTGCAGTGCCCGCGAAAGCACCTCGGTTAGGAAGTTCCTTGACAATCCACAGCCCTCTCCTTCCTCGCCCAGCTCATCTCGATCCTCACCCGAGACCGCGGCGCACAGCACGCAGCAAACGCCTGCAGTCTCAGGACTGGAAGGTCATTTGTCCCCTCTGGGGGTCATCTAGCCCACCTTCTGTAACTCCACACAGTACATTTCTTACCCTCGACGCGTCCCTAGATTTCAGCTTCAGTTCCCCGCCTTTCTCTCCCTCGGGAACTTTCCAGCGTCTCCCACCCTCCCGCGACCCGGTGGTCCTCACCTGGGTCCTGGGCGGGCAGCGGCTGCTCCCGGTATGCTCCGTATTGCCGGTAGGAGGCTCCGTAGGTATATTCCGACTTGGGCGAGTAGGCGCCCGTGCCTGCAAGCCCATTGAGATTGAACTGGTGGTGGTAGGTGTAGGGATTCACGGTCTGGCCGTAGGGCTGGCCCGAGTAGTAGTCGTGCTGAGGAGCGCTGTAGTAGCCCAGGTCAGTGACGGAAGACTCGGGCAGTGTGGGCGAGTCCTTGGAGCCCGCATGGCAGCTAAGCGAGCTGGAGATATCGGTGAGGATGCTGCTGAGCTTGCGATCGAAGGAGCCACTCATCCTGGCGGGCGCCGCGCCACCCCGGGGCTGGCCTCGGCCGCAGAGCGGAGCGCCGAAGCGGGCAGGAGCGCCGGGGAGGCGGAGGAGACGAGGCGGGGGCGTGCGTCCGGAGGGCGAGGGGAGGGCCCGGCAGAGTCTCGGGGGAGGGGAGGCCGAGGGGCGCTTAGACCATCGTCGGCCTTCGGGCAGTCGCTGCGCGCCTCTCGTCGCGTCCCAAGCCACAGTCAAATGCTGCCAGCTCCGCCCGGCCAGCCGGTTATAGACTCAATAGTGGAGTCGCCGAGGGAGGCTCCAACACTCTGATTGGCTGCAAGTCTTGCCTTCGAGGCAAAACATGCTCTTGCGCTCTGTCGTTCTCTCTCTCTCTCTCCCCTCTCTTCCCCCCATTCTTTGTTGTTACCCAAAACACACACACACACACACACAGGCGCGCACACACACACACACACACACACACACAGACCCCTCATTCCTCCTCCTGTCGCTCCCTCCCCCAGCCCAGATAAACTCCCAGTGTCTCCGAAGGAAGGGGGTGGGGGAGGGTGGTTTTGCAGAGCCCTCAGGATCTGTCAGTCTGTCTGTCTCCCTGGCTGTGGGTGGGATGTGGGCTCAGGTGCAAAGGGGAAGGAGGAGAATTTGCCCATTGGGTGTTTTTGGAGGAAGGTGGTCCAAGGTGGGATGTGTGTGTGTGTGAGCCTGCGCCCTGCAAATGACAGGCAGACAAACTCGCCCAAAGTGGGGAGGACCAGGGCCCGCAAAAATGTTTTAATTTCTTTTAAAATCAAAAGTAAGGAAAAACAAAATTTTAGATTGAAGAAAATGTTTGAAAATATGATCATATATTGTCTTCGCATCAATGCACTCAAAACAATAATTTAAATTATTATTTTTTTTTAATGGAGGAAGGGACTCAGGCAAAAGTGCCTTGGGCCTATGAAAGTCATGATTGGGCCCAGGGAGGGTCCTGTTGGAGAGGGCCTGGGAGGGAAGGTGTGTGTGGATTTAGGGGCTTCTGGGGAGGGGACGGTTGCCCAGCCTGTCAGTGGTGATACTGGAGTTATCTCTGTAGCTATGTGTGTGCGGTTTCAGAGATGACCCAGGCTTGCTGGAGAGAGCAGGGGACCTGGGGTCCCCACGAGGTTGGGTGGGACACAGGCTGGCTCTCTGACTGTGTGCTTCGGTAAGTTTGCGGGCAGAGTCTGTGCATTTGGGATGGCACTCAGGGAGTGTGGGCATTTTTAAAGATCAGGTATGTGGGACGTGTGTATTCAGGGTGTGTGATGTGAGGATTTCGTGTGTTCCACAGTATATGGAGATGTATGTGAGTGCAGGAATGCGTGTGTGAGAAAGTGCAGCGGTGTGTGGGGTGTGTAAGCAGTGTGAGTGGAGGGCCCCAGGACGGTGTGTCTGTGTGTGAATGTGTAGTTGTATGCAAATGTGTATAAAACTCTCAGTACCTTCCCAATCCCCAGTAGCTGGGAACCATGATGCTCCATTGAACCCAGTCACCCCATGAAGGCCCTGAGGAAGAGGCTCCCCTCCCTGGGGACCCCCAGCTCCTAATCCTGTGTGGCCCATAAGGCCAGGCCTCTCACTCATCCACGTTGTTCCCAACGTCTAGCCCATTTCTCCATTCTACCCCCAATTCTGCTCTCCGCCTTTCCCTTGGGGGTCAGGGAGCTCCTTCAAATCTCAGTTCCTAACCCCATACCACCTTCTCACAGGCTGCCGCGTCAATTCTCTTGTTCCCTTCCCCGGCCTGGCCTGGCTACACGAGTCCCAGGACACGCAGTGCCAGCGCGCCACCTTGTGGTCACTCCTGGGATCTGCAGCCTCCCCAAGTCTCGCCACGTCCAGAAGAGGGGTCTCCTTAGTAGACTCCGTTAGGGAGAGAAGTATGCTGGGGGCTCTGTGCCCCTTTCCAAAGCCACATCCCCGGGGCAGGCTTCCAGGGATTCCAAGAGATTTTAAGAGCTGCAGTTGGCGGAGACAGAGGACCACAGTCCGCGGGCCCAGGGGCAGGAGTGCCCTCCAGGTCTGAGCGGCTCCGGGGAGGCGCGGTGTGGGAAAGGTGGGGGCGGGGGCCGGGCGAGGGGAGCGCTATCTGTCTGTCTATCTCCGCGTCCCCCCAGCGCCTATCGCCCGCCGCTCTGAGCCCGTGGCGGGGCGAGTTGCCACCCGCCCTGGTTGCCCTCTGTTCTGTTGCCAAGAGGGCGCCTAGGGAGCCCGCGGCATTGGGGGCAGGAAGGGCACTGGGCGGGCCAGCTCCCCCTCCCAGGATGGGAGCGGGAGAGACCAGCAGGGCCTGCTTTGGGGCCCCCAGCTCCCCACAGAGAAGAGACAGCGTCGGGCAAGCCACTTCTCAGGGGTTCATTTATTCATTCATCAACTGAGACCAAGAAGAGCCAGATGATTCAGAGGTGGCTGAGTCTATCATATTCCTCATGAGGTCCTCACAGAAGCCTCACTCCTTTCCCTCCTTAACCCCACCCCAACCTGCCGCTCCTGAGTAAAGTGAATGAGCACTGGACTGGGAGTCCAGAATCCTGGAATCAGGAAAGGGTGGTGGTGGTGGTGGTGGGTTACATCAGGATAATTTCTATGCTCCATTCTGCTCTGAAAATCTAAGAGTTCTAGAAGTGGACTAAAACTGCAGCAGTAGGAACTTAAGTGAGCAATTAAACAATTGTTTGGTGATGTGAGGTTAATATCTGGCCCCCACTGCAGTGCATACTCTAAGACACCAGGAGCTGTATCTATCTAGTTCGCTACTACCTTCCAGATACCTAGGGCAAATCCTGGCACACACAACCTCAGTGCTTAGGAGATGTTTGTTGAATGAATAACTGAGACTCCCTAATACTGGAGGAGGGCTGAATCATCTTGGCTCAGTATGCTTGCAGGGTTAGGAAAAGGGGAGGCATAGAGCAGGCACCAGCATCGAGCTGCCCCACTCCAGGGTAGGAGCAGGAGCGGCGTCCCAGATGGGGCCATGAGTGGCATCCAAGGGGCCCGTCAGGCCAGCAGGACTGGAGCCACCAGCTGCTGGGCGGGCACCTGCTGGCTCAGGGCGGCGAGGTTGCCGGAGGATGCAATGGGACCAGTGCCACCCACTGCACCTTGCCTGGGCCAACAAGATGAACAGGTGTCAGTCTGGCCAGAGTCCTGCCCCTGGTGGAGGGGTGATGTAGGGCAGTATGTCAGGGGCCTCTGGGAGGCTGGCAGGAGGCAGAAGGGACAGTGCTGGCCACTGCCCAGGTCACAGTCCATTGCCCACCCTCTCCTGGCACAAGAAAAAGTGCCTTGTTGAAGCTGTTCCCTGGAGCCCAAGTGTCATGCTGGCTGGGCACGGCCACAGCAACTGTGCTCACTGAGTGCTGGGTCTGAGGGGAGGAACTGTGGAGGAGGATGGAACCAGAGGGTGAGCCAGGAGCGCTGGCTTTCTCCTTTGCCTGGGGAGCTGACGCCATCTAGTGGTCAATGTGAGGAGGCCAGAGTCCAGCCCCAGTGGGGAGACCGGGGAAGCCGGCCACATGCAGGGGGCCACCATACCCAGAAGGAATATTATCTTTGTTTATTTTAGGAGCCCTACCAGTACTAAATATTCACTTTTCATCATCACTTACTCTGCAGCTGCCACCTCTCCCTCCTCCCACCCATCCTTGTCCAGCCAGTGGCTCCTTCCCTTAGGTTTCTCATTTGTAAATCAAAAAGAGGATTATTAGATGGCCTCTGAGGGCCCTTCAAGCTCTGATGTTCTATGATCCTAAATTCTAGGACTCTTGTCTCTCAAGGGGGAACTTCCCTCTACCTTCTCACCAACTCCCTTGGAGATACACCCCAGGCCGTCAACACTTTGCAGCCTGGACTTCTTCTGGAGTCCTTCATCCATCCAACAGATCTTTCCAGAGCCTCTCCTATACTGGGTGCCGGGGATGGAGTGATGAATAAGACAGGCACCATGCCCCCCTCCGTGGATCCTAAGGTCCAGCGGGGGCAGTGGACACAAAAGCAGCCAGTTTCTCTGCAGTGTGATGTGTGCTGGGATGGGGGCGGCACGTGTTGCTGTGACAGCCCAAGGAGGCCTGAACCCTGCACAGAGGCAGGAGGATATCTGAGCTGAGGCCTGAAGGATGTGTGGGACTTGGCCAGGAAAGGTGGGGATGAGGGGAAGGAGAGAGTTCCCAGCCACGGGAAAAGCCTGTGCAAAGGCTCATGGGACTGCCAGGGGCAAAGCACTGGGGGAGGGGCAGCTAAAGGTAAAGACAGAGTGGAGTCTGTGACCCAGAACACAGAAGTAGGAGAATGGAACCCTGAAGAAGGAGAATGAGCATTATCTAGAGGCTGTGGGGAACTCCTGAAAGATTTTAATCAGGAGAGAGACATGACTGGATTTTCATCCTAGAAGGGTCCCTCTGGCTGCTGTGTGGGGATGAATCAGAGGGGACAAGATTGGAGGCTGGGAGGCTACTGCAGAAGTCCAAGCAAGAAGGGAACTGGGTCTGGGTTAAGGAAGAGGCAGCCAGGGTGGAGAGAAGTGCATGGATTTGAGAGAGAATACGGAGGTCAGAGTGATAGAGTTTGGGAATGGATTGCACGTGAACGCTAAGGAAAGGAGCACAGTGGGGAGGTACCCTGAAGCTTCTGACTTGGGTAACTGAGTGGAGAGCTGAGACCATTCTCTGAGAGGGAGAGGGGGTACTTGAAGGGGAAGAGGATGTGTCCTGTTTTGTTTTGTTTTTTTAACTTTTCATTGGAGTATAACATACATGCAGAAAAGTGTGCAAATCATAATCACTGAATTTGCACAAGCCAAACACGGCTGTGTAGCTAGCACCCAGGGTGAGTACCGCGTTGAGAAGCAACATTGCTGGCACTCAGAAGCCCCCTCATGCTCCCTTCCAGTTACTACTCCTGAAGGGTAAACACTGTCTTAACTCCTGGCGCCCCGGGTCAGTTTTGCATATTTTTGACTTTTAAATAAGTGGAGGTATCTGGGGTGTGCGTATGTTCAGCTTTAGAAGATACTGCCGAATAGTCCTCCGAAGTGGTTATGCCATTAGCTCAGTTTTGATCCTGTTGAGTTGGAGTGTCTTGGAGACTCAGGAGGAGCTGTCCAGCAGGCAGTTGCTACATGGATCTGAAAAATCAATAAAGAAGCTGGAATCGGAGACGTGAATTGGGGATATTGGCGTCTTGTGGTAAGTGAAGCCACGGGTGGGGGTGAGATGGTCCAGGAAG